AGAATAATTGTTCACTGGTATTTTAGACTGTATGTAATTTCTTCTATAGCAAATGTTTCACCCATTACTTATTTGGTACTGTTATAGACAGCCAAATAGTGCAATCTTCTTTCAGAAAGATCCCAACCATGACCATATTCCAAAATCCTCGCTACTACATTTCTCAATACATTATCCAATTAACCACAAAATTGGTGAAGGAGCAGAGTGACTGAAACACACACTAACTCTGCCATGTTTCAGATGGGCATTATTACATCTGAAGAACAGGAGAGGGCTAGAAAAGCTTTCAGAAATGTCTTTCCAAGGAACTGAACTCAAGGAATCCTTAGAAAGGTGAATTTTCGAGCCAGAAATACATCAAGGGCCTTTCTTCCAGTATGTCATTGTGTGTTGGACACTCAGGGCCACCACCCTGGCCACCACAAAAAGCCAAAGCCTTCCTGCTGCAGGGAAGCAATGACAGCTATCAAAGTATATGAGCAGCAGCGCCATGGCTTTTACATCTCTCCCAGTTCCCTGTATTGCATCTTCCTGCACAACTGCCAAGCTGCTTCCGCTACACATCACTGATCAGGTAGAGGGAAGCAGAAACATGTTTACAGTAGCGGGAGGCTCATGATGAACATTAAACTACCATTACAAATAGCAAAGCACTGTTTTCAGGATAGAAACTAGAAGTTCTACAGTAAGCTGCACAGATAAACAAAACCACACACTAAGATGCGCTTGCTAATTCCACTTCTGATGAAGCATGTTAACTTCTGCACTTAAAGCAGATCAGCTTGTGCTGTGGTGCAATCAGATCCAACTAAAAGATGCCAACAACTCCACCTGTTTCTAATTCAATAACAGAAGCAATTCAGCATTTAAAAGCTCCTCATTACCACTTTTTCCAGAATCTGTTACAGATTTTATAATGGTTTACCTTAAACAATTAGTCACGGCACGCATAGAACTAATACTCCATCCTTACTTTACATGATGCAATACCAGGATGAGATGTTAAAAGCCAGAAGCGTGTGAGCAAGGTCTACCTTTAGATTTCCATTCCCTACATTGACGTTAACAAATTATGCTGTCCTGCTCAGCAGCAGTGAGAAGCTGTACTCTTTACCAGTATGTGTGCCTGTCCTCAGAAGCTATGATGACATTTTGAAATGTGTTATATTGTTCCAATACCTCAAGCAATACTTTAAGTTTTCAAATGATATTAACTTCTTCCATTCATCCTCCAGATTCAACTTAGATCTGAGACTCAAGCTAGACTTACACATACAACACTGCTGGTCAAAAAGATACTGCAGGACCAACTGGCTTCTCTGATACATGTCCGAGCAGATACTCAGGAATATGAAGCGAGAACTTAAGGAGGACTGCATGCCTTGGGAACTTGATGCTTATTTTCCTGCTCTCCAGCTGAAGGCTGTTTTTATGGCAAAGGTGACAGTGACACCAGGAACTACAAACTTGAAACAGGACCACACAACAGCAGGTTAACTCCATGCTGCTGTACATCAACCCAATTCAGATCACACAGTTGCTTCCAAACAGGAGATGCAGTTTTAACTCCAAGGCAACATTTCTCTGGCGATTTAATCTGCATTTATTGCCACAATATTCACTGTTTGTAAGGACCTGGCTCCTCTATGCACTGCAACTCCATCACCACTAGTTACCAAACACAGGTCCACCTTCAACCACACAGCAAACTGATGCAGAAACACCATACTAATTCCACGGTTTCTTTAGGAAATATAGGCAGCCTTTCCTAGAGAAAAGGGTTAAGTGTTCAGCTGCACAACTTTCAGGTATGTCTCAAATAAGGAGCCATGTTTGATACTTGTAGGAAACTGCTGGTTTTGCATCTCGTATTCCATTTGTGAACAGACCTTTTTGTTCTTTAATCCAAGTTCTGAGTTATTTAACCCTGCCTCCAACTCTTGAAATCTCTCTTCCTATAAACAAGAGGTTATTTAGTGCAAGGAAATAAAGAATTTAAAAAGTCAGACCCTAAAGTGTTCCCGGCTCTGTTTTTAATTAATATTGATACAATCTGGAGAAATCTGCTGCTTAATATTACAAGGCAGGTCGAAGCTCATCAACAGTTAAACGCCACCTTCTAACAGAAAGCAGAAGAGGAAGTTGCGAGCAGACAGGGCGCATGTCGCTCCGCTGCCGGCGACACGGGACTGCACAGTCCCAGCCCTTTACAACTTTCTCAACCAGAAAAACAACAGTTTCAAAACCATCTAGACCCGGAGCTGCAAGAGCTGGAGCTGACAGGGCACAGGTGGAACTGTGTTAAGCACAAATCCCTCAGGGTTTTGTCCTGAAATAGGATAATGGAAGTGCAGAGCAAAGCATTTTTATTTTCCCTAATTCCACACTTCAAATACGTTGGTACAAATGAATGACAGGGGAAGGAGGCACGGACAGCTCTGTAAGACTGAACTTCATACTCAGTAACGATAGTTTTTATAGCATATTGCTTCATCTGCAAGTGGGAGTAAATATTACACTACCTCTTCATGCAGATAGGCGGACAGGAGAGAAAAAAAAAGCTAATTTGAAACAAATAACTATTCTGCACATGGATGAAGGGAGCCTCCACCTCCCTGGTCACTCCAGGACTCACCACAGACTGCGTGCAGAGTTAGTAAACTTTGCACCGCACAAGGGCTGCCCCGTGAACCTGCCAAAGGTGAACAGCCTCAATCCGCAACACGCAGAGAGAACCACAAGTCCTCAAAAGCAGGTAATGAATATTGTTCCAAGCACCTGAAGTTACCAGAGCGCTTCAAAGGAGAAGCTACAAACTGTTCAAGTCACACTGTCACACCAAGCCTGCACAACGAGATTAAGGTCTGCACAGCGGTACTCCACAACAGGTTTTACCATATGCACAGAAATTAAATTATGATAAAAGTGAGCTATTTTTTACTAAAAACGGAATAGCACAATCTATCAAAACGCCATTCGGCTTCGTTCATTACATTTCAGAATTTAATTTACATGATAGATACATTTGGGTAATATGTTTTAATCAATAAGCATTTCTGAAGGCTTTACTTTTATAGGAAATATTTAGACTTCTCCCCCCTAAAGGTAACACCACTGCAGCGACGTTGGGAGTGCTTATTTTCCTACGCTAAGCAAGTACAACCACACAGACACAGAGGCAAAAGCAAAAGTCCGCAATTAAAGATGTCAGACCTTGTTTAACTACATCTTAATTTAATCCATTTTATTTTATACAATCCTACATCTGGATCTCATTTTCTCTATTCCTGTAGGTATTCTGGGTCACTATTAAGAACCCTTTCAAGTTAGCAAAGTTCAGCCAAGTCTACCTTAATCCAAAGCTTTTAAAAGAAACAATAAAACACGGAAAGGGGGGCAAAGGAGGGAGAAGAAAGAAAAGCCTAAACAAAACGCTACTTCACCCCACCTCCTAATGCACCTGAAAGTCAGAAGGGACCAGCCTCCCTCTACAAATCCTACGCAGCACTTCCCGTTTTGGGGTTGCTGGGGTGTTTTAGCATCGCTCCCGCTAGCTTCCCCCTCCGCAAGCCCGGCCAAGGGAAGGGGAGGGCAGGGCAGGGCAGTGTGTCCCGCCGGGTCCCGCTCCCCGGCCCCCTACCCGCCCGCAGCCCCTCACCTCCGGCGGGGCCGCGGCTCTGCCCGGCATCAGCGCGCCTGCCCCCGGCTGCCGCGGGGCTCCGGCCGGGCACCGCCGAGCCGCCTCGGAGGGGGCCAGGGTGGGCAGCCGCCGGCTTTCGAGCCAATTTATTTAAACGGGAGGCACCGGAGGGGTTGGAGAGGCAGGGCAGCGCCTTCCTGCGCCAATCAACTGGGAGAAACACGCATGTTGCAATCCCGTTCAGCGGCGGGAGCAGCACCAATTCATCGTTTGACAACACCACTACCACCACCCCCCCAACACACGCACACACACAGCCCGCCCTGTCCTTATCTAGACCCCAGCAATTAACGCGAAGTAGCTGGGTCTGCAGCGTCCCCCGGGCACGCATCCGCGGGGTGCAGGGAGACCGGTTTGCGAGGACTTTCCCCGAGAGGAAACAGGACTTGTGTGCTGTTACGAGCAGCACAGTGCAGCACCAGTATCGCACCCATCTGTCAGATCCCGGGCAGGAGGAGAGGCCGGAGAGCCCGTGAATTATGTAAGCGTGCCCACCCGCCGCCGCGCCGCGGGGAGATGCCCGGCCGTGCCGTGCCCCGCCGGGCCGGATACCCCGGCGCTCTGCCGGCCGCTCACCAGCCCCCCGCGGCGGCTCCGGGGGCCACCCGGACGGCGCTGCCGCTACCCTCCCGCACAGCCCTCACACAAACACACCCCCCCCCCCGCCCTCCTCAGGCCAGGCGCTCGCCCCCTTCCCGCCCCGCAGGACCCCTAAGCGGCTCCATCCCTCGCCCCCGGTGTCTCGTCCCCCACACCTCGCCCCGGCGCGGTGCCAGCGGGCGGCGGGAGAGCGGCGGCCGGAGCCCCCTGCCCGCGGGCGGCGGAGGGCCGGCACCCCGCGGCGAGGCGGCGGCCGGGCAGCGGCGGGGGAGCGCCCGCCTGGCCGGCACCACAGCGCCCCCAGCCCCCGCCGCGCCGCGCCTGCACGCCGAGCCCGGCCGGCTGCCTGCGCCCCCACACAAAGTCCCGGCACTCGGTAAACTTTCCCCGGCTCCCGGCGAGAAAAGGCGGCGGGGAAGCGGCGGCGGGAAGGGGCAGGCGGGTGGGGAGGGAAGCGGGCAGGAGAGGGAGAAGAGGAGCGGCCGCCGGCAGCAACAGCACCGCCGCCTGCCGCCTCGGCCGCTCCGCACGGCCCCGGCCGCCCGGGGGGAACGGGAAGCGGGGAAGAGAGCAGCCCGGGACGGAGCGGGCGAAGCGGCGGCGGCCCCAGCAGCGCCGGCTCCGGCGCCATCTTGGGCTGATCGATGAATTGAACAAAGAGGATCAATTTCCGATGGGGCCGGTAATCAATGGCGAAGGGGGAGGGCGGAGGGAGCGGAGCGCCGCGGCCGGGCGGAGCGGGGGGTTCCCTTTAGGCGGCGCGGGCCGGCAGCGGGAGGAGGAGGGGGAGGCCGGGCCCGAGGGAAGGCGGAGAAGGGAAGGAGCGAGGGAAGGGGGGGGTCCGGCGGCGCGGCCCGGCCGGTGCGGCGAGCGGGAGAGCCTGACCTGCAGCTGCTGTAAATCAAAGCGCTTCCAATATTGAAACATCGATCCCACATTGGCCGCCATCTTGAGACATATTGAGACAGAGTGAGCGGCTGATCGAGAGAGAGGGGCTGGAGTTGGGAGCCGGGAGGGAGGGGGAGGAGGGAGGGAGGGAGGGAGGGAGCCAGCCGGGCGGGGGGAGGAGGGGCGGGGGGGCAAGGGGGAGGGAGGCGGGCGGGGAGCGCCCAAATCCCGGCCTGGAGCCTGCGCCCGCCCGGAACACGGACTCAGCCCCTGAGCTCGCGGGGGGGGGGGTGAGGGGGGGCGGAGGAGGAGGACGCTCCCCCCTCTTCCCCCCCACCCCCGCCCTGTGCGGTCATACCGGGGGGGGGGGGGGGTGTCATTGCCCTCGGTGCGGAGCCCCCCCCCGCCCCCGGTGCCGCCTGTGCGGGGCTGGCCGCGGAGCATCGCTGCCGCAAATGGTTCCGCGGACCTGGGGGGGGGGGGGGCGCTCTGGGGGCGCCGCGGTCTGGAATGAGGTGGGCGGCAGAGTTTAGGGACACGGCAGCCACCAAAGTGCGTTCAAAGCAGCCGCGTTCTCCGCGACCCCGCCGGTAACGGCGTTTGTCGAACCGGCGGCGGGCACTGAGTGACGGGCCGGGGCCGCCGGGGGCGACCCGCAGGGAGGTCGGAGAATCAAAACGCGGCTATGGATAGCCATAGAAACGGAGATTAAAGGATGAAATAACTTGTGTTGTTCTAAACAATAACGGTGCTATAAATACGGACGTTTGCCTTGCTCCCTTCCTGAAGAGCACGGCGCACTTAGCCAGGCTCATCTCTTAACAAACCGCACCAGTGCACTCCAGCACCTCACCCCAGCAAATAATTCCTTATTTTCCCTGGGAAACGGGCAGACCCACGGTTTGCACCCGTTCCCCCCTGAAATCAATGAGCTGTGCGCGATTTTCCCAAATACAGCAACTTTCCCTGTTCTCATCTCTAAAAGGAAAATCTGTCTTCCTCTGGGGAAGGGTAAATGAGCGATTGTACAGGGTTTTTTTCTTCCTTAGATTATATTTGATGAAGTGAATTTAGTGCTCACTCAAGTCAGTGGGTTGACTCCTTGGAAATGGCTGTGTCTATCGCTAGAGAAGTTACGGCACAGCGATTGCCACAGATTATTTCCCAATCTGCCGCCGTCCTCATTTGGAGGAGCACCATCATTTCAGCCTCCATTTCCACTTTTTGCTGAGGCTGCTGCTTACAAAGATACTAATTGCAATGGCAGGTTTTATGTTAATGGATTTCATGTAATGATCAGCCTGACAACTATAACCCTTCAAATTGTTAGTTGCCTGTATTGGGAATAAAACTAATGGCATTTGGTGATGGGAATGTCGGGCCTCCACCTGGGCGCTCAAGGAGGTTGGAATCAGTGGGGCTGCACCACGGATGCCTTTTGAAAAGGAAACCTCTTGTCCTCCAGAAGTGCAATGCATGGAGGGAGAGCAGCTCTTTACTGGGATGGTGGCTGTGTGTCCACACTGGGGTGACATGGGGAGGTGTGGGGTGCCCGGCTGGGATGCCCTGGCTGTAACGAGAGGGTATCGGGTGCTGCCGAGTGACAGCCATCTGCAGGGATGGAGCTGCGTGAGCCTCCAAATTCTGACTAACAACGTAACCGGTTTGGTAGCTCTAAAATAGGATTTTAATCCTGGGAAGCATCGTTTCACATTCCAGTGATCTAATCAAAATCCTTTCCTCTAATCTCTCCATGGTCCCCCCTTTCTAGATGAAAGAGGCTGGAGTTCCTGTCTTCACCCTTTCTCCGCTGCCTCCCTGCTCTACCAGTCTGTTCTGTGTCCAGGCAACTGCAAAAAGACATTTCAAAGACTCCTGCCGTGCCATGTAGATGTTTTCTCTTGTTAGTTTGGACTGCAGGTGTGTAAGCCTCAAGGATGAAGTATCACGGTGCTGTTTTAGGTTCGGGGCATACAGTCGTAGTACAATAAATCACATAGTAATGCTCTGCTTTGAACGCACACACACAAAAAGGCAAAGGGGAAAAAAAAGCATCTGACCTGAATCATTTTCTGGAAACACATCTGGTTAAAATCCAAAGTTTTAAATTGAGTAATATTTTAAAATGCATTTGGTAGGTATTAAATTACAGTGTTATATCTGGTAATATTTATGATACTAATGTGTTAAGCGGAGGTTTATATCTGTCAAGAAATAAGAATGATTGTCAGATGGGGTAACAAATGTAGCCTGATATAAATAATATTTTATGATATTTTTAACATTATTGTAGTTTGGTTTTTTTGCAGGAGTTACATCTTTTCACGTTGTTGCCAGTTTGAAATGAAAGCTCCGTGGCTAGATACCAAAGCTTTTCGCTATATAATTTAGATAAGTATAAACAGTACAGCTGATTTTAGGAAGTGCTGAGAAGCCCTAACTCTGCTGGAAGACAGACGCTGAGCACCTATGATTCCTATTGTCTTCTGTGCAGGATCGAGTCCCTTATTTGCCATTTTGTGTGGCAGCAAGCCCAAGGAAATCTTGTTTGACAGCTCTGTTTTCTCAAAGTGCTGTCTTTCTTCGAGCTGGATTCTGCAAAGATCCTGCAGGGTACAGAGCTCCTCGGAGCAAGTGATAATTTGCTTTGTGCTCCTGCTGAAACGTACCTGGGAAAGACGGAAGAAGGATCTTGGAAAATGTGTGCATCCTGGCAACAAGATGGTTAGAAGAACGTTTTCCTTGAATTATTATGTTTTGAGAAATCAGCCTCATCTGTTCATTTGAGAAGGGTTTTCGTAAGGTTAGATTTGATCTGTGTAAATGCTAACTTCTTTCAACATGCACTAATAGAGTATTGAAAAAGTAAGTACAGTGGGTTTGAAGTTTAAATCTCAGATGACGGCAGTAACTAATAGTGCTTCAGGAATGCTTGCTACAGCCAAAATATTTGTAAGTATGTTGTACAGATTTCTGTTTCATTTTTACCCAGGTATAGTCATACTTGCACTATTTTAGGAATTAGGCAAATACCTGATTAAAATTTCTTTCCTATTAATGTCACTGTGTCATAAAGTCTCACTGATACAATTATGCACATGGGGCCATCAGTGGCAATTGCTCTTGTTGTGCTTCACATGTCATTGTCCGGAATGGACCTTTATTCCAAGGGTCCCAAACTTGTCAGAAGCAATTCATTGTCACAGCTGCTCCTCTGGGCAGCAGTCTGCATTCATTAAGATATTTTGGACCATAAGTCCAATTTTAATTTCCATACTTAAGCTTCTATTTGCCTTAGGAATTCTAGCTCATTTCCTTGGCCAGGACACTGAAAGATGAGGTGCTGCTTCTCCCAGCAGTGCTGTAACTTTGAGGTTCTTCTCCACAAATTCGTGGGTTTTCTTCTCTTTCACTTAATGTGACTCCCAAATTTCTATCAGTTCCCACAGAAGAGTTCTTCTGGAGCCTTATCTGTTCCCATCTCTGCTCCTTGTCCAGCCCCTTCTCTCCTCACTTTCATGGCTCTCATCTTCACATTTTCTTCAGTTGCTTCTTGTCCCCAGCTGCCTGGCTCCACATGCCTGTGCCCACTGAAAGGAATGTCTTGTTCTGAAATCCCAGCCTTTCCACTGTGAAGGTGTCATTCTGCTCACTATTAAACCAGATCTGAGAGCAAAGCAAGCTCCATCTCTCGTTATTACACCATGCCATTGCATAGAGAACTCCATAGGGATGGCAGAGAACAGAGACAGCCAGATAATTTATGTTGCTGGGAGATTTAGTCCAAATCAAGATCAAAACCTATATATGTCTTCCAAATCACAGATAACTTTTTTCCCCAGTTATAGCCATTGACTAGAATTCTGTTTGATTTATATCTGTTGTAGAGCCAAAGGTTTTGCAGCATATAAATTGCAAGGGGATTGCAAGACGTGGACACAATGATACGTATGAGTTCGGGAAGCCCAGTGAGCAGAAACTGCTTGGAAGAGTACCAGGGAGAAGTGTCCCATGTGCCTGCCCACTCTTCCCTGGGTGTCCATTTGCGGTCACTGGCAGAGACAGGGGACTCAGCCTGATGGACCAACATGGGTATTCCCACATTCTCTGGTAATTTGGGAAAGTTTTAGTGCAAATCATGTAGATGGTGGCATACATGATGTAAGCGTGAAATCCTGTGACTGCTGCAAAGCCACAGATACACACTGGTAGGTGGAAGAGAAGAAAGCAATTCTCACAGAGGGCAGGGAAAACAGCCACAATTAAAAGCAAAGTAAATTTGGGTGGTGTGGTTACTTGCTGTTTAACTCTGAAGACATTTATAAGTACCCAGCATAACCCACAACAGATCTTCTTTGAGGATTTGTGGATTAACCCATACCAACAAAAACATGTGATGATATTGTAGTGGTATTCTCTTACCATGTACAGGAGGAGTTATTGAAGACCCCTAAAGAATGAATATATCACTGTGCCCAATGAACTGAGTCATTCTTTCCACACTGTTTGCAGCATTTCTGCTTTTCTTAAAGTAAATTTTATCCAGATGCATGCCAATGTTTTGGCCAACATAAGTAGTACCAGTACCCATAGGCAATCAAGAGAATTAGAGAAGGAAAGGATCTCTCAGGTTATCCAGTCCCTGTAGCTGGCATTCAAGAACAGTTTCATACCAAATTTATTGAAGTGTATGGTTCCTACCAGTTGTAATTTGCAAGCACCGTCCTTGCCTTGTCTCCCTTCACTCCACACACAGGATGACACAGATGGGAGGCACATTGGGTCCTTTCTTGGCTGGGCAGGGCTCACACTCCCTGTAGCACTCTTGTGTCCAACTTTTACACTGTTCTGTTGATTTGGGCATTTATCTTCTCTGTCCTTTAAAAGGATTAGGAGACAAGTTAGTAGGTTATGTTCTCAGGCAAAACTCCCACCTTTTTTCTCACTTGGAACCTTTCACTTGTTTTTTACCTCTTTTTTACATCTTTTTTTACCTCCTACTGGTTTCTGTTAGGGGCTTGGGGGGTTGTTTTTAGCACATTATTTTTTTGTGAGATTTAACTCTTGCTACTCCTATCATGCATCTCATAACCCACTTCATGCAGCCACTGCCTCACTTCAGGTTCTTGCTCTTCCCATCTCCCCTTCCCTGCTCCCTCAGGAATCTATTTCAGCTGTGCTTTCCCACCCACTGTCCCAGCCAAGGGGACGGAAATGGGGATGTCTTATTTCTCACAGTTTCTGCAGAATCTCCAGGTCCAGCATTTCACATACTACTTAAGAGTAAGAGGCTGAAACCATCATTATTACTTTAAATATCTTTTTGCTTTCTGAACCTCAGCTGGAATGATTGCATTCTGCTATCATTGTGCTACTACTCCTGTGGCAGGAGAGCTGGTTCAGTGGCTGTAGCTGGGGATGGGAGCTGTGTTTTGTGTCACAGAGCTCTTGGTGACACAAAACAATTTACTGACTCTTCCCCAGTTCCTTCATTCTGTAAAATACTAGTGGTCACTGGGAGGTAAAAATCTCATGGCACTTGAATCTCATGGGCTGCAGAACAGGGAAACTGCAAGAAGGAGATGGAGAGTAATAAATAAATAAAACAGCTCAAGAGCTGCTCCCTCACCTACCAGTTTCATTCAATTCCAGATAAGGCCCATAAAGTACAAGGCTGACGCTATCCTGGAAAAGCAAAAAAAAGGTTTTTCTTTCACTTTCCAATTGCAAACACTTCACATGGGGAAGGAAGAAGGGAAGATCTCTCTGCTCCTTTCCTCCAGCTGGGCTTTTTGGTCCCCTTGTCATGGTCTGTCACCACCCTGGGGTGGTCGCACCCATTGCGGGTGGCTCAGCCCATAGCCTGCATCGGCACAGCCCTGTTGCAACACGCAGGGATGAGAGAGGAGGAGAGGAGAGGAGAGGAGAGGAGAGGAGAGGAGAGGAGAGGAGAGGAGAGGAGAGGAGAGGAGAGGAGAGGAGAGGAGAGGAGAGGAGAGGAGAGGAGAGGAGAGGAGAGGAGAGAGGAGGCAGACGGGTGTACGGGGACAGAGAGACAGGTATGTGCAGCGATGGGGCAATACCATCGCATGCTGCTTCCACCACCTGAATCCGGCACATGGACAGGCTAAAGTGGAGCCATCAGGGCAACCAGGAACCCGGCTTTATCATCATATGTGATGTTTAGGATGTTTGAGGTGGTTTTTCTTCCAATAATGAATGTGAGATTTCATTTTGGGAAGCACATCTTTTCTTAGAAACACAACTGTGACTGACTTAGCACAACTGTGATTTTCTGCAAACACAACTGTGTTTGGGGTTGTTGCATGGGAATACTAGGGTAGGAGAAACAGTAATTCTGGATTAATGGAGAAAGCAAGAAAATAGACACCCTCAGAGGAAGCCCTATGTTCACCACAGCTGCCATTTACTGGCAAAACTGAGGCCGTATCCCACAGGAAACATTTTAGTGTGGAGAACCTCCTTTTTGAAGAGAGCACACTGGGTGCCTGCCATAACACACACAAGTGAACCAAAGTGCTTGGGTTCACATATCAATACAGTATTTCTTCAGGAGCATGTGTGAAATAAATTGATATCCTCCCCCCCCCCCCCCCCCCAGCATTGCATAATTTGCTGTTTGGGAGTTCCCAAACTGGGGGGGTGGGGGGTGTGGAAATCCATGTAATTTTCTATTTCCAAATATTACCTTCTTCTCTGGAATAAAGAGATCCAGTCTTACTCTGCCCATGATTCTTCACATTTATATGTTGGCCCTTGTTTGCATCTCCTTGGCATTATCCTGGATTTGGGCTTTAACCTGATAAGAATCCAAAGAAATTATATGGGAATTGATGGGATCGCTATGAATTTCCAGGGGTGTGGGCTAGGGTAAACCATTGCCTAGTAATCGTGTGTTCTTGCTGCAAATAACAATCTGGATTTGGCCCAGTGAGAGTAAAACAAATTGAAATCATTCATAAAGGGAAGGAAATGGCTGTAAGGTGGAAGAATAACATATTGGTGGGTTGTCTCCAAGTATCCAGGGTTTAGAAGTACCGAAGTACGTACAAACCTTCAGTTTAACATGTTCTTAGCTGCCCCGCTGCGTGGGGCTGGCTGCTGAACCACAGCCATGTGCAGAAGACCTGCTTTCATGGAAGGATTCTATAAAAAAAGAATTAAAAACTGCAAGAAGGAGCAAAATGTTCAAGGGCAGCCAACCTGGAGGAAACCAATGCAATTTAGCTACAGGAAGTGTTTATAAATGCAGTTTATGAACACGTATGAAAGAGTCATTTTTTACTGTTCAGTCTGCAATGGTCACACAGAAAAGAAACAATTGTTTTGTCTTTCTCAGGGATTTTTAGGGAATACATCGCAGTTCAGTTATTTATTTGGACCTGTTTTTTCTCTTTTAATAGCTTCTTGTTTTCTTATTTCAGATTGAAATTTGTTGTGTGCTCCCCTGCATGTGATGGAGAAACCTCTACGTGGCTCATCCGAAAGTGGGAATCTATTTCCTATTTTGTTTAAAATTTCAGACTTTCTTTTCACACCCGTGGCTTACCCAGTTTGATCTGCAAACCTCCCTTTTTGTTTCTCTTACATCATCAGAGTAAATGTGAAATGGCACAGAATGCCTGGAATTGCAATAACGCAGTGTAGCAGAACTGACTATCAAGCTTCATATATAGATTAGATTAATGCATAAATCTTAATTTGATATTTCACATTACTGGGCTAATATTTTACAGATGTAATGCCAAGTTGTTAAGTAAATGAAAATCATGGAGAGTCCAATTCTGAAAGGATTACTCAGGCAAAAATCCCTGAAGTCAAAGGGAGTATTGCCTGAACGAAGTCTGCAAAATTAGAACTAGAGCCATATTCCCCAAACAGACAAGCAGATTATCTTAGAGATCTGCCCATGAGTTGAATTCTTGTAACAATGAAAGATATATAGGGAAAATGAACAAGTAGGTAACCTGAAATATAAGGAGAGACTGATAAGATCACACCAACCCTGAGCAAGCACTTGTGTGGTTGGTGATGTCAACAGGAGCCCAAGCTGGTTTAATAAACTTGTTCATAGCTGTCCTATATGGTGTTTTATATACTCAAGTACATAGATCACGTACGAGTTTAACAAGAAGAGGATTCATATTAAATTTGCACATAAAATACCTCCGTGAAATACGTGAAATGCTTTTCTTCTTTATATGATTCCAATAAAACATCGATCATAAAACTCTGCCCTCCCGCTTCTTTATATTCAGTTTCAGCTGTTGCTTTGTGTTTAAAGTTTGAATTCCTGACACTCAGCAGATACAATTTGGGGGCAGTTTTAATTGGTGAAGAAAGACCATTGCTCTGCTTGCTCGCTCAGGGGGTATAAATCAGGAGAAACCCCACCAGGACTGGTGAAATGTTGCATCTGTAGAAGAGCCTGTTGGGCCAGATGATATAAACGGTTGCAGCTCCTGTGAAATACTGTAGTATTGTGTCTGTTTATAGCTGCTCAGGATCTGGCCCACTGACTGGGATGGAGCTAAGCCAGGGATGATTTCTGCCCTTTATCATGAGGTTGCTCGGTGTTTTGCACTGTAAATTCTCCCAGCTTTTGCTGCCAAACTCAGCTCCCTTCTTCACAGTTTCATACTCTTAGTGTGAACTGGTGGAAATCCAAGGGTAAAAAAGTGGTGAGTATAAAGCACAAATCTGTAGCCTGGATCTGAGAGAACAGCTTGACCACAGAGGAAGTTATTTGCACAAAAAGTATTCAAACAGATATGCACGGTTTACATGTGTTTAGTAAATCTTGTCTGAAAACTAGAACCAGCTGTATAGTATATGGAGGCCCTGATCCCAGCTCCTTCTGAGCAGCGTTTCGTACATTTGGGTGATACATTTCTAGTCACTTTTTCCATCTTTTAATTTGGGGGCTGCTAGGGATTGAAATAGGAGGAGAGTGATTTCTATTTCAGTTTGTAGTCATTGTCAGCATCCCCAGGTAACTGTTCACAGCTCTTTCCTGCTTGCTGAGACATTCCCATCACAACCCCTTTCCTCTTTACCTCCATCTGCAGTCTGGAAGCAGAGGTATGGCATAACGCCCCTATGGTAGCTCAGGGGCATGAAAGGAGCGTTTTATGCCAGGCTCATCCTTCCATGCTGGTCTCAGGGCAACAAGCAGGGACTAGCTGAACCCACAGCATTTGCCCTGCGTGAGGACAGTGAAACCGACTGAGCCAGTGTTGGGTTGCTCTGAAATGAGAGGAAAACCAGGCCTGAAAGCTACATTTGCATGCAGAATTAAGAAAGTTGTAGATGCAAGCAAGATCTTTTTTCCCTCCCCCCCCTCCTTCTTTGTGTGTGTGTGTCTAACTATGCAACAAATTTTGTAGCTGAAATTTACATACTTCTTGATTCATGAAATTATGAGCAGCTGCTATTTTGCTACATTCTTAAATTGAAAAGGCAGCGAAGAAAAGAACAGACACATTAGGCAAA